ATGAAGACAGTGATATTTGAAAAAAGAGGCACTGGAGGAAAAGGAAGGAAAATACTATTTTTAAAAAAATAAAAGATAATAAGCCTGGTGTGGTGGCACAGGCTTGTAATCCCAGCAGCTTGGGAGGCTGAGGCAGGAGGATGTGAGCTCAAAGCTAGTCTCAGCAACACAGTGAGGCAATAAGCAACTCAGCGAGACCCTGTCTCAAAATAAAACAAAAAGGGTGGGGATGTGGTTCAGTGGTTAAGAACCCCTGGGTTCAATCCCTGGTACCAAAAAATAAATAAATAAATAAATAAATAAATAAATAAATAATAGAAGATAAATTAAGAAAGGTAGAATAAAATTAGAGAATTTTTTGAAAAGTATTTTAAATCACCATTTTGCCCTCCAAAGTAATAAATGACTCAATTGAGAATCCTTAATTGAACCAGGCACTGTGGTGCATGCCTGTAGTCTCAGCCACTGGGTAGACCGAAGAATGATGATCATTTAAGCCTAGGTGTTCAAGGCCCGCCTGAGCAACATGGCAAATGTCTGTCTCAAATCAAATAAAAGGAATCATTAATTGGTGCTATAGCCACTGAACAAAAGCTGTTGGGAAACAATATTCCCACAGTGCCAAAATATTACTCCAAAGATTACTAAGGGGGAAATAAAGGACCTTTCCAGTGAAGAGATCAAGTAGTTGTCACTTTAGCCAAATAACCAATTACCAAAATTAATAAGAGTATCTAAGATTATGTACCCTTTAATAGAATGTTATATAAAATCTATAAAACTTGTGAAATACTCTTGCTAAAAACGTTTAACTGAAGCTAATCAAATCTATATACTTGATTTCCAGTTCAAAGGAAATACAAAGAATAGAAGTAACAAGCCAAACAAAGGACAGATCCAAAATAGCAGCCCAGTGACTTTCTTCAAAAGTCTTATCCTGAGGAAAAAAGCTATGGGTGTGCAAGGAGAGAGGTCTTCTAGACTAAAATAAACAAATATAAAACACAAACATCAATTGTATTCTGATTCAAAAACAAAAATCTGTAAAATGTAATTTTTGAGACAGTTGGAAATATTTGAATTAACTTAGATGATGCAACTAGAGTTTGAATTGTGTGATAATGGTATTGAGGTTAAGAAGGTATCTTCATTTTTAGAACATGAATGCTTAAGTATTTATGGGAAAATGTCCTAATAGAGACAAAACTCTCAAAATGTTAATAAGTGTTGAATTTAGGTGATATGCTATTTTCTTAACTTTTATGTATATTTCAAAATAAAAAGCTGGATAAAATTTAAATTGAAAAAAGTTCCTTAACAACCACATCTTTGTGCACTGAGGAGATACACTATGAATTTTTTAAAGCTCACCTGGCTCAATTTGACATAGCCTAATTAATCAAAATGGCAATAGTTGTGCTAGGCAATGTGGCAAACCCCTGCACTCCTATCTATTTGGGAGGGTGAGGCAGGAGAACCACAAGTTCCAAGCCAGCCTGGGTAATTTAGGGAGACCCTGTCTCATAATAAAATAACAAGGGCCAAGGACGTAGCTCAGTGGTAGAGCACCTGTGGGGCACTTCCTAGGGTGTACAAGGCCCTGGTTCAGTCCCCATGACCACACACACACACACACACACACACACAACACACACACAACACACAAAGCAACAGTATAAAAACAAAAACCAAACTAAACATGGATACAAATAATGTAAAGAAATTAAAATTTTGAAGCATTATGTATATTATACAAAAATAATGCTTCAGTTTTAAAAATTCTAGAACTTATAGCAATACTATTGGAACAGTGACAAAATAAAACAGGGGCTCATATGGTTCATGATTTTCTGTAATCCTATGAGCCTCCCAGAAAATATTACCATACCTTTGCTCTATTAAGATCTATCTGAGGCCTGGCAGTGGTGCATGCCTGTAATCCCAGCAACTTGGGAGGTTGAGGCAGGAGGATTCAAAGTCCAAATCCAGCCTCAGCAATTTAACGGGGTCCTAAGCAACTCAGTGAGACCCTGTCTCTAAATAAAATATAAAAAAGGGCTGGAATGTGGTTCAGTGGTAAAGTATCTCTGGATTCAATCCCTGTTACCAAAAGTAAGCAAACAAAAAGATCTATTTGAGCTGCATGCTTATATTAGGAAAAGCATTTAGCATCATAACATTAAATTGAATCTACTATCCAAGTAGGATAAACATTATCATTAGCCTAAAGAAAAAACTTAATAACTCCTCAATTATTAGGTTACTTTTATGTATGCAATGTCTTTTAATAAAGCAAACATACTCAGAAATTTTGTTAAAAATTATACCTTATTTAAGCATTGAACTAAAATTTCTTACATGTTTAAAGTACACTTAAGAGTGCATTTTTAGATTATCCCAAATGAGTTCTACTTTAAAAGAAAGAAAGTGTACATTTAGGGTCAACTCTGTACTTCTAAAGGAATACCATGTTATTATTTTAAAAGAAGGCATTTTAGCATTTTAGAAATTTTAAATTAATAAGTGAAAATAAATGTGTAGTGAAAAAAAAAAACACAACTGATCCTTAGGTCCAATGTAAGGCTGATATTTAACCCTAGTGACTGGAAATGTAAACCTAACAACAGTGAAGCCTAATGGTGAACCAAAGTAACTGGTCTATTAGCTTTTCCTTATACTGGTGATAGTTAATGACTAATTTAAAATAAGTTCAAAATTGTGTATTAATTTAGTTTAGATAAACCTAAACAACAAAAATTTTTTTTGAGGAGGTGTCTGATTATGTTGAATCCTGCTAGACTTGAATTTCTGGGCTCAAATGATTCTCCTACGTCATCCTGCCAAGTAGTTGGGACTACAAACATTTCACTATGTCTGGCCCTTATAAGCCAAATTTCAAATTTGTCTTTTAAAATATTTCAGCATTTAATAAAGCTATCATTAAACATCAGAACTGAAAAGTAAATGAGAATAGTATGCTTTATAATATACATACATACATATATGCTAATTAGTATAGTATCTGATTTTACATTTTTGATATTTATATTTTAGTAGTTGGACACAATACTTTTATTTTATTTATTTATTTTTATGTGGTGCCGAGGATAGAACCCAGTGCCTTACACATGCTAGGCAAGCGCTCTACCACTGAGCCACAAACCCCAGCCCCTGATTATACATATTTTTCCAACCCTAGAAATGTTTAGAAACATTTCACAAAATTTCTAAAATTATAAGTAGCAGTGCATAAATTAAGACTATAAACAAGAATTGTTATTGCTTTATCATCCCCATCAATTCAGGGGCATTTTATTCAGTCACTGTGTAGTAAAGAATTTGGTCTCAACAAAATTCTGGCCCAAGTTTTTGGGAGGTCCCAGTTATAGGAATGTCTTTATTATTCATATTGGGCTCCTCAGACCATGACTGACAGTTTATATCAAAAACATGACCTATGATGAGCCCTTGGAGCCTGATGTCAGAAAGATCTCCAGGGTGAGGTCAGGGGCTGTAGAGAATTTATTCATATAGACAAAGAATCAACCATACTGACTAAATAAAAATCTGGACACCTCAGCTGAGGTGAGCTTCCTTTTGCATACTGTCACATATAGTGACCAGAAGTAGATAATGTTGTCCATGACTCTACAGGGAGAGGACACTGGAAGTTCCAAGTTGAACTCCTCCTAGACTTTGCCTTATGTGTCTTTCCCTTTGTCTGGTTTTAATTTATATTTTCTTTCCCTGTAATAGATGTAGTGTGGGTATAATAGCTTTGTTAGTTCTTTCTAGCAAATCATCAAACCAGTGGATGGATTTGGGAAACCCTGAATTTGCAATCACCTAGACATAGTCTCTAACTATAGAAAAATCTCAAATCTTTGGTAATTGAAGGCAATTTGGGTTCTCCTTGATATTTTCTAGAGTATGTAATCTTAGTGTCCTGCCTTGAAGGAATTATCTTTGTAAGAACATTAAGAAAGACTAGCTGGTTACTATCTGACTCTGTTGAAAGGCAGTAGTATTGATGATTCTGAGATATGTTTGCATAGCACTTAGATTTGAGATTTTGATATATTTTGAACAAAAGAAGCATTCTAATAAAAAATAAAGTTAAAGATTTTCAGTTAGTGCTGTTCATGAGAAGTTACTAAAGTATCTTTTTAAATGCTGATATTCTTATTTTAGTGAAGTGTTTTATGTGTATAATTATTTATTTATGAATTATACACAAGTGCTACTGCCATTGGTTAATATCTCAAAACACAATAAACACTTAGGACAAGGTTTATTCTGAACTATAGTGAGTGTGAATACATAGTTCAAGTAGTCCTCTCGGTAATTTCAAAATGTTTTGATTGGCTTCTTTTCAGGTCTGACTAGCTCATTGTTGATTTTTAACCTTGTAACCTGGCTCAAGAAAAAGTTCCATGTCAGGAATATGAAAAGTATCAACCTGACTTTTTCTTGTTGTCATGCTGCTTCCATTTATCAGCATTACTTTCAATCAAAGTTCCCTGTCAGGAATCTTTTTAAGCTACCTACCCATTTTTGATAGTTTACAACTTTCTTCCAACTTCATAAACTCATTATTGACAAAATCATGAACATTTTTAGAATAACTGTCAAACTTGAAATTAGGTAATGGCATTTCAAGATTGTTTGTGATTAATTTTTTAAATACTGTTTAAATTGACATTTTTATTGACCAGTTTTCCATCAAGTCCTCATTTTATAGGCATTTCCTGACATTTATGTTCTTTTCATTTATGTCAGTATTTCTTATAAACTTAGCAAGAAAGAAAAAATTTCCTAACATGCTCATATGAGTTAATTCTTCATTACCTGGACTGTTTTTTAGTTATCTTTTAAAGAATTTGTGTAAAGTTATTTCAGTACTAGAGATGGAAATAAAATTCTATATGTTGCTTATTACATTTAATTTCTATGCATTCAACTGATAGTCACAAAAGAAGCAATTATATTCAAATTGTGGAGAAAGTAAGTACCAAATTACTTTACTTAATTAACCTTAAGGCTAGCAAAGACATTTTATTTACAAAAAAAATACTTTTAGGCAGATGTATTCTAACTAGTTTAAATAAAACCCATTCTTTCATGTTAGAGCATAGGATAGAAAAAAGGAAGGGCAGTCACATGTGATAAAAAGTCAACTAGAAAAGTAAATATCAGCAATTCATTTCTGATTTATATGATGAGACTAATTCATAGGTTCAACCACAGACAGAGATGAATAAGGAAATATAGGGAAAATCTTGAGTTATTTATGAAAATAATCTATTTCAACAATCTATTAAATAGATAATAATGGATACCAAACAATGACAAGAGAAATTTTCCAATTAAAAAATCATTTAACAAAAGATCAGTTTATATATTCCTTTTAACTTTTGTCCATAAAAATTTAAATATACAAATCACATCCCCAAGTGAAAGAATCTTTCTAAACAAATAAAATATAGGCATTGAAAAATTCAGGATACAAACCATTTAAAAATATTTTTTAAATTTACAGTAAATTAAATCTTATAAGAAATGAGACAACAAAATGACAGTTATATACAACTGTTAAGTTTCCAAAAGCTGAATGATGATGATACAATGGTGCCACAATTTATCTAAATGAGAACTGTTACCTAATGCTTTTTATAGTTATACCTATTTCAGTTTTATTAGATAATGGGTTTAAAGAGCAAATGTTGAAATAACCAAAAGCAGAATTATAGTTATTTTTGGAACATTCTAATTTTGCCTATGTGTCTAAAGGTGCAAATTACAGAAATATTCTTCAGAAAAATCAGGTATTTGGTAAGGCAAGGCACAAAGGACCAGATTTTGATAAAGATGCTTTTTCCTTGGCCCTGTAATTAAATTATCCTGGAAATTCTTAAGATTACTTTCAATAGAGCATAAACAACTGATATAAAGTGTATACCCATAGTAATTAAATATTTTCTGTGCATGTTTAAATAAAATAAGGAATGCTAAACCCTTAAAAAAACCTAAGTTGAATGACTATACAATGACATTTAAAGGCCAATGATTTGATATGTAAGAACAGTCATTATTACACTAAATGCACAGAGCAGAATGTCAATTAGTTTCCTTTTAGATTGCATGTTATTAGAATCTAGTTTAAATAGCAAACTGCCTTTCTTTTCTATGAAATTTGGTGACATTTGATGTAAATATTTAAGTACCATATATTCTACCATAAAAGTAGCTTAGGACTTCTCTAAAATCACTTATTAAAGAATTGGTAATACTGCTATATTGAAACCCCTACCTGTTGCATTTTAAACTTTAATTCACAATAACTACATTCTTAATTTTTAGTTTAATTATCAACTGGCACTTTTCTCCCAAGAAGTAATACATGGAACAACTTAGATGAGAGACAACAATACACTTTTTAAAAAAGTACAGAAATTTAAATTATCCAGGTGTCATCTTTATAAAAGCTTAATACAATAAGGACCTCTGAAGGTCATTAAAACATAAAACAAATACATAAAATAGCATTATCTGTATATATGACATGATCTAGGACCCAAATCCATCTTCTTCAATATGATTGCTTCCTTTGAATTAAAAATTAAAAACTACATAGCTCCATAACATTTTCAAACCTATTAGAAAAGCAAAGTATAAATTATGGCTAATGAAAGTTTGCTTTAAAAATATACTTTAGACTATTTTTCCATTTTCACAATTCCTAATTACATTTTATAATATTTGTTGGAAATCTCCAAAAATATATTATTATGGACAACTGAAAATGTTATTAAACATACCTATTATCTAATAATTTACTTGTGTAATTGCTTAAGTGTTAGACTAGGGGCAGAATAAACTAGGTTAACAAAAAATTGTTGAATGCACAATGCATTAATACATAATTGCCCAAACAACACTGTAAACTGAACATATATTTTTATTTTCAGTCTTAAAATCTGTGTGTTTGCAAGATTTATATTTCTCTTAGTAGTAATAGGATATAAGTCTGAATGTTGTTGCAGTCTTAAAACAAAATGTGGTTATCAAACAAAATACTCTAAAAGATGGTCACTGCAGTCCAAATTAGATCATTGCATTAGCAAGGTAGCTCAGCCAGTCCAAATTATCCAAGAGTATCCAATGGTTTGGGATAACATTATTCTCCAGTCAAATTCTATTTAACAAAATCCATTAGAACTATATAAAAATATTTTTTTTTACAGTTTTTATATCAGAACAGACTTTTAAAAATATATACAGTATAAATGAAAAAATAAAGCAAAATACTTCTTATACTTAATAGATAATCTGCATATAGTCAATAATTAAATTAAACCTATATCAATTATAGAATGTATTTTTGTCCACCAATTCATTTTACTATTTCTAATATATTCTCTCTCCTTTGAACCAGTTTATTAAATAACATATAAATTCACATCCTCAACTCCAGTGTTGAATAGGGAAGAAAATCCTTTATTTTAAAGCAAAATGGTGACTCCTTCCCAGCAGCTTTCATGGAACATAGAAAGGGAACTCTGAATTCAACTACCTCTCCCAGTCATGTGATCACAGTACTCCTGGGGAAAATGGGCTTATGAGAAGTCTAAAACATTTCTTCTGACCAGTCTTGAATTTACGGCGCCATCTAAAATAATGTAATATGGCAACAGGAATGTCTCCAAGAAAAGTCATTTTGGTCTTGGTCCACTGATACCTATACAACTAATATTTTTGGTTGTTGTTTTTGTCAACAGTTGTTGATTAAAGGAAATTTCTACAGATAAGTAGAATATTAATTTAAAATCTTTCTATTTGTATACAGTATAACTTGATAGTTCAAAATTCTCCAAATGGAGCTATTCGACAATAATTATTTTAAATTATTAAATCAGTATTTAATTTCTTTAAATTACATTTTAAATTTTCAGTAACAACACAAAAATTTAATTTAAAGTAATATTAAGAATTTATCTGATTTACAGAAAAGATAGTCAAGAGATCAAGGGTAAAACTCCATTAGAGTAAAGTCTAGCACAGGAACAACTGGATTGCTTTCAGCTGTCTCAAAGCACTAAAAAAATCTTAGGATGTATATGGAGAAATAGATGTTTCTTTACATTACATTTAAATATGAATTTTATTTTCTGACAATTCAGACTGAGAATATTACCTTATCAAATTTTTGTAACTGAACAAATAATATTTGGCAATCCTTTGTTTGGTAATCTTTATACAAATATAAAAATCTCAGATATGTGAAAATTTTTTTTCAAATATTTCTATTTTTCACAGCTTTAATAGGTAATTATAATTTTCAAACTTCAACTATTCCATGTGATTTGATATTTCTGTACAGAAAGAATAAGGTAAAAAACATCTAATAAAAGTAAGTAGATCTAATTTGCAAAAATTGATATTTGTGTGCTCTTGCAAAGAGTGCATAGGACATTTCTGCAGCAATCAAAAAGGTAAACTCTTTTTAAAATTAGATTTCAAGTTTCCTCCAATATTCTCTCTAATTCTAAACCCTGGAAATACTTTCAAGTTTTGATTTCTAGGCATAATGTGTTTTGCTACATATACAGTACAAACATTTTATCTTTAAGCCTGTATATTTTCAAACCACTTGAACAATATGATCAGATTCAGCATGATGATATCTTCACAGAATCAGTAGAAGTCCTCTGTGCAAGATTAACGTTGAGATTCCTAGTGCACCATCATGAGAAACCAGTTAAAAAAAGTTTATGACTATGCTTTAATGGGATTTCCTGCAGGTTTGGGATCATAACCATATAAGAAAGTAGCTGCTATTACAAGGATGGCTCCAAGGAAAAAGACACTAAATGACAAGAAGGAAAAATGAAAAAAAGAAAATCAGATTAAAAGCAAAACAAAATCTTTTTATATCTTTACCATAAACCCAATTATAATTTGGGAAGAAAATGTTGCCATAACATGGCTAACAAATACTGAGTGCTTTCCATTAGGTATTTGGCTAAATGCTTTATATACGTTATCTCACTTAGTTCTCAGAACAACCCTATTAAGAAATCAGAGTATTATCTTCATTTTTTACCTGAGGAAATAGGTTTTAAAAGTTTAAATAACTTGCCTGAAGTCCTACAACCTTAAGCACAAGACAGGATTCAAGTTCAGATTTTTCCGACTCCTGAACCTGTACTCTCACCTCCTGCACAGTGTCTCCCAAAGCAAGATGTTTAGCTGTATTTTACCTAAATACGTATTTTGCATGCAATACATTCAATAATGTAAGGTCTCAATTCTTTAAATATTTGATCAGATAAAAGGAAAATTCATTTTTTATATTAAACCAAGGTAAGTTCTGCTTAAAATGCAAGGAAACAATAACCAAAATTCAGGCCTGATTTACAAAAATAAATTAGCTTAAATGCAGGAAGTTCTTAATTTTCTCTTTATTCTACTTATACATAGATATAATCTACCTTATTTTGGTAATGAACAAACTGGATGGAAACTAGACAATGAAACTTAACTTTTTATATGTATATTTTAAAAAAAGTTAATTTGACTAGTGTTGCTTTTAAAGTTTCTATTAACAGTTCAAAGTCATTCTCCTGCTCTAAAAACAAAATGAAAACATTGCTCTAATAAAGGAAAAATATAATTAATTCTTCTTCCTATAACCACTTAACTGAGTTTTCTGATGAGCCATTTTATCCATATAAACTTCTTCAAGAATTTCATACACTCTCCTGGTGTTGGCTACCAAAATTATGCATTAAAAATGTTATGAGCTAGACACGATGGTAGGCAGGAGAGGCCTGTCTCAAAATAAAATAAAAAGGGCTGGGTGGTAGCTCAGTAGTAGAACAGTTGTCTAGCATGTATGAAGCTCTGGGTTTGATCCCCAATACCACCAATATTTGACTTAGTTTATCACTTTATAACACACACACACACACACACACACACACACGTGTGTGTGTGTATGTGTGTGTGTGTGTAAAAGTTTTTCAATGGAAGATTTCCTTTCAAGTAGTTTGAAATCTTCTTAAAAAATAGATAAATGGATTTTTAAATTATATTTCAATATTTTTTCAAAAGTTATAATAGGATAAAATATCAAATTACTTTAAGAATTCTTAATTTTATATATATTTTAAGAATTTAAAGAAATAGAAAATAATAATTTACCTGGTTGGCACAAAATCTTGTAGCCAAAAATAGGATATCAGTGTTGATAATATTATGGATAAAGAGGTTGCAAATCCTTTTAAAATATTATCCGCGTACTTAATAACAGCAGCTATTACAAGGCCTCCAAGTGCCTACAAAAGTTTTAGGAGATTATTTTTAAAAACAGAATTACTTTGCAGAGAATTTCATTATTCAATGAAGATTTAGGCTTTTGTCCTACGAATCGAATCCTATTATAGTAAGCAATTTATATTAAACATCTCATAAACAATACACTCACAGGTTTTGTTCACTAGTCCACATATTTCAAAAGGTAACTCATAGAGTAACTACCAAAATTATCTGAGGCTTACTGTAATAGAGTATGATCACATTATGAAAAGACATCTATCCACACCTAATTATTAATTAAACATCATTTGTTTGGACAAATGTGGGAAGACTGGTCACTGTAAACAGTGTTATATTTTTATCTTTGAGTAAAAAAAGATATAATTTGTTATAGTTAGAAATAATTTAAAAGATTTTTTTCACTAACCTTTCAGCAACCTCCTAACTTGGCTTTCTTCTTCTAGGTTCTCTCCATCCTAATTTACCACTCACTGTCATCAGATTACTCTTGCTAAATTAGTTTTAATCATCTTTTTCTCTTCCTTTGTTTCCTCTCTCTCCTTACTCCCTCCCCTCCCAGCTTTCTTTCTGCTGTGCTGGAAATTGAATCCAGGGACTCATACATGGTAGGTAAGTGCTCTACCATTAAGCTATCCACTAGCCTTGTGCTCTATCTAGGTTCGATTCTCAGCACCACATTAAAAAAAAAAATAAAGGCATTGTGTTGTGTCCATCTACCAAAAAAAAAAAAAAAAAGATTCTCTCTCTCTCTCTCTCTCAAAAAAAAAAAAAATCCAGATGGGGCTATTTTTAAAATGAGGTTGTGGGCTGGGGATGTGGCTCAAGCGGTGGTGCGCTTGCCTGGCATGCGTGTGGCCCGGGTTCGATCCTCAACACCACATACAAAGAAAGATGTTGTGTCCACTGGAAAAAAAAAACTAAAAAATAAATTAAAAATAAAATGAGGTTGTTGTGGGTGGGTGGTGGCTCAGTGTTACAGTGCTTGCCTAGCAAATCCAAGGTCCTGGGTTCAATCATCAAGGAGATCCCCCAACCCAAAAAACGGAGAGAGAGTGATTTTACTGTATAGGTTGATCATCCCTAATCCAAAGTATTCCAAAATCCTAACTTCATTTGAGCACTGACATGATGCCACAAGCAGAAAATGCCACACCTGACTTCATGTAATGGGTAGTCATAATACAAGTACATTAAAAATATTATGTGTATAAGGTGTGTGTATATGTTTGTGTATGTGTGCGCATGCACGCACATGTGCATGTATGTGAGTCCATTCCCCAAAATGAAAAATCTGAAACACCTTTGATCTCAAATATTTTGGATAAGGGATATGCAACCTGTACTTCATATCAGTTTCCAAATCTGGACTACTCACCTTAACAACTTTCCCTCCACCTTTAATGACAGTAGCTTTATTTAGAGAAAGTCACAAATTACTCCAATTGAGTTTACTACAAATTAATGTTTGAGTTCCATTATTTCTAGGCAACAATGTCATTCCTCTATGTATTCCTAAGATCAGTCAGTTATACCAAATCTTTTTAATTTGCTCATGTCTTGAGCCCCTAGTTAAGGGAAGATGACCTCCCCTTTTGCTAGGATAAATTATATCACACATAAATTCTCTTGACTTACCCTAATTGCACTTCAAATTTTGTCTCATTGTGTCTCCTTTCTTTCAGTGTCTTAAAAACAGAAATATCCTTCCTGCTTTCAAAACCAAGCTATTCTCTGACATCTTCACTAGCCTTCCAGGACTTTTCTCCTTATAACTTCAAATACCTCTAGAAGAATAGAAGGCTCTGAGAGCAGTGACTTGTATCTTCATTTTTATGTCCTCCAGAGTAGAATACTCAATAAGTTTTTTTTTTTTTTTTTTTTGGTGGTGCTAGAGATTGAACCCAGGGCTTTGTTCATGTGAGGCAAGCTCTCTATCAACTGAGGTATATCCCCAGTCCTCAATAAGTATTTCTTGAAAACGAAATTAATTACTTGACTCTTGAATAAATTCAAATTAAATACAAACTGACCTAATTTGACAGGAATATTTCAATGTTAACTAAAAAATGAAGCTAAAAAACTAGAATGAAATATCTAGCTCTGTTTCTTTGATCTTCAGGGGCTGACCACACACTTTCTGTACAATATGAGTTATAGAAAAATCAAAAGTTTTATTTGTCCTTAGCTTCAGCCGCTTTATTATTAAACTTGCATTTCACAGTGTTTACTCAGGACCCTTTTTAAAGTGAGTTTTTCATTAGAGCATTAAGACCAGTTCTATTTTTAACTTCCCTGAATAAATTAGACACAATGAAAGAACTAACAGGAGGGATCCCCCTGCCATCGCCTTCCCCGCCAATATCCATAGCAACTTTTTTCTCTTTAGCATTAAATAAAAGAGTTTACATGCTTTACCTGAAGAACAACTACTATCCAGGTCAGTCGGTTATATCCCTGAAAAAAACCATTCTTTGATACCAATTCTCCATCATAAATGTAAACACCCATTAATCCAAATATGCTCCCAAAAAAACCTAAAAAAAAAGAGAGAGAAGTCTGTATCATATCATTTAGTTTTTCTGAAGAGAGATTGTTTCTGTTGATATCCCACAAACTTTTATAGCTACTTTTTTTTTAAATGAAATTTGACTACTCTTAAATTTTTGTATTTGGTTTGGTTTATATAAACTTAACAAAGTAACACACAGTATTATATCATGACTACAGACAAAGTCAAAGATGGGGAATATTAAAAAGAACAGAGATTATCAAATGAGTGCTAAAATAAAATAATTGCAGAAATTATATGATTATATGGCTGCCCCATTCAAATATTTACAAAATCTCCTGATTTCAGTATATGTCATATCTTGTATCTTCCTTTTGCTGTCTAAATTTTGATATCTTTACATTAATACATTCATATATAAAAGCTTACACATGTAACAGCCTTTTTTCATATTTAGAAGTTTGAAAGTATAATAATTAATAATCAAAAAATGAGGCGTAAGAAATATTAGAATCTATATGTATTGCTGAAATCTCAATTTTGGGGAAAGTCAGCTCAGTGAAAATAGAAATTATACCTTATTCATTACCGAGTTCCTCACCTTAACAATAGAGCCTATCACATGACTACTGTATTTAAGCAATTTCCAGGATCACTGGTAGGCTATGTATGTCTATAGGAACCATCTCTATGGACAATCTTTGGAATATATGCAGTCAAAGGGGGTAGCAGGGATATGTTTTTTTTTTTTTTTTGTAAAGCTAGAACTAGGCAGCTTTCCATAACAAAAGGAATTAAAGAGGATATGAAAAACTCTTTAAAATTTCATTTAATGCCAGCCTTCTCCTTAATTTTGAACATGAAATTAATGCTAGCATATAATTCCAAAAATTCCTGAAAGCAGCAAAATTTTAAAAATTTAATTTATAAAAGTAATACTTTATGGGGCTGGGGATGTGGCTCAAGCGGTAGTGCGCTCGCCTGGCATGCGTGCAGCCTGGGTTCATCCTCAGCACCACATACAAAGAAAGATGTTGTGTCTGCCGAAAACTGAAAAATAAATATAAAAAAAGTAATACTTTATAATTAACTAAAAACATATATAGTATATACTATAGTTTGGAGCTAAAATGTCCCCCAAAGGCCCAAGTGTTAAAGGCTTGGTCCCCAGCTTGTGGCAATATTGGGAAGTGAAAGAACTTTCAAGAGGTGGGTCCTAGAGAGGATGGGCGAGGTAGTGTATGCCTGTAATCCCAATGGCTTGGGAGACTGAGGCAGGAGGATCAGAAGTTCAAAGCCAGCCTCAGTAACTTAGCGAGGCCCTAAGAAACTCAAAATACCCTGTCTCTAAATAAAATATAATAAAGGGCTGAGGATGTGGTTTGGCGGTTAAGTGCTGCTGGGTTCAATTCCTGGTATTAAAATAAAGAGATGAGACCTACCAGGAGGTCTTAGGTCATTGGGACGCTGATCTCTTCCTGTATCTTTGCTACCTGGCCACCATAAGGTCAACAGCTTCCTCTGCTATGAACTCTTACCATGATGCATTGCCTCACCACAAGCCAGAAACAATCGGGACAAATGAGCATGGATTGAAACCTCCAAAACTATGAGCCAAAATAAACCGTCTGTCTTTTATAAATTGGTTTATCTCAGGTGTCTGTTACAGTGATGGAAAACTGACTAACACAGTAGACAAGGATACATACATGTTTCATATGTCCACATGTACAGACCTACTATATTCTAACAGTTGCATAATGTCACACTATCTGGTATCAAATATGTATATGTATGTTAGGAATTGTTCTAATAGCTTTAAGCATGTCAACTCACTACCTATGAGGTAGATACTTATATGCAACCATTTTTTACAAATGAAGCAACCTCCCCAAACTCATACTGCTAGTAAGTGATGAACTCAATATCTGAATCTAGGAAGTGTGGCTCTGGAGTCTAATTTTTTTCCTCCCGTTTTTAGAGTCTATGAGCCTTCCCATTATGCTATTTAATCAAATCATAATTTACTTAACCAGTCTCTGTTTTCTATTTTTTATCAATGTAAATAATGCTTAAATGAATAACCTTGGACATATTTTTTTTTAAATTATAGGATAGATTTTGTTAACATGAAATTCTTGTATCAAAGCATACATTTATTTAAAAATTTGGTAAGCATTTCCAAATTGAGGTCCAACAAAGTTGTTTTCTACTCTCTGGCTAATAATGGATCATATCAATTTGCTAACCTTTGACAAGTCAATATTTGAAAAATGCTACTATATTATTTTAATTTTTGTTCTTATAATGTTTAGTTATAGCTATAACTTTGAAGTATCTTTCAAAGAGGATCTTTTCAGGGCTGGGATGTAGTTCAGTGGCAAAGCTTCTGCCCCACATTTGCAAAGCTCAGGATTTGACCCCCAGTTATAAAAAAAAAAAAAAAAGAGAAAAGAATCCTTTTTTAGTCGCTCACCATTTTTTTCCATAAGCATTGTGCTATCTGATCAAACAAATACAAGATCTACGAAGCACCATATAAACATAAATAAATTCTAACTTATTTCCCATTTTTATCTTACAATTTAAAAAAATTTTAGGCGACTCACACAAACCTTTAATATCTTGTTTTTTTCTTGTCTATTTGCATATTTATATAAATAGATGACTTTAGTGCTTATTACATGGATATGCAAGACACTTTTCCCTAAATACTTCACATGTATTATCTCATTTAATATTCATAGCAGCATATGAGTGGGTACTGTAATTAGGTACACTTTTCTTTCTTGTTTTTTTCTTTTTTACAGTACTGGGGACTGAACCCAGGGTTTCCTGCCTGCTAGTCTTTTTTATCTTGAGACAGTCTACGTTGTCCAGGCTGGCTTCACACTTGAAATCCTTCAGCTTCAGCCTCCCAAGTAGCTGAAATTAAAGGCATGCACCACCACAGCCAGCAATTAGTTACTACATTTTATAGATGAAAGTGAATCACATATATGTTAAAATAACTTCTGAAATGTCAGAGACAGTAAGTGATAAAATCAGGATTTGAGTAGCATGACTTTAAAACTAAGTGTTCTTAAGCACTCTGCTACAGATATAAGTTTTTTGAAATGGTAAATTAAACTGATTACTGCTTTTAAGTCTGTGAAACTATATTCTAAACAAACTGAACAAAAAGAAGCTAATTAAATTTTGCTTTAAAAATATTTACCCTAAAAGGGAAAAAATGATACATTTCTACACATTTTGCAGAGAAACATAAATAAATCCTATTTGATAACATGAAGATTCAGTTTTTTGTTACCACATTATTGGAAAACAGATGAAAGGATGACTAATCAAATTTGGGAAGTTTGACTTACAATATGGGCCATTAGGAGTATAAACAATTTGCTGTGTAGGAAACAGAAGAGGCCTATATGACTGCTGATCAAGAGAGAAATGGATATCTATTAAATTGATGTGGATTGGAGAAAAAAACAGTGATTTCAAAAATAAGCCCCAAATTCTCAGGGACAAAAACTTAAAATAGAATGTGTTCACTTGCAAAGCACTGCTTCTCACATGGCAGTTTTCTAAGTAGCACTATCCAAAATGAATATAAGCCAATAATACTAATTTTTGGAATCCTTGTATGAGGATTTAATCATAATAATACTATAAATAGTTTAAATATTTGCTCAAAGGCAATCCATAGGGCCTTTTTCTTTTAAGCTACTTACCTTCTGTTAGAAAAATACTATATTATTTAAGAGCTAAAACATAACACTTTGAAATAAAAAAGCATGTTAATATTTAGGAAAAGTTCATCATTTCTAACTTCCTCCACTTAAGTATCTTTTTTTAATATTTATTTTTTAGTTGTAGTTAGACACAATACCTTTATTTTATTTATTTATTTTTATGTGATGCTGAGGATAGAACCCAGGGCCTCGCATGTGCTAGGTGAGCACTCTACCACTGAGCCACAACCTCAACCCCACTTAAGTATCTTAATCCACCTTTTCAGGAGTAAAATAGTTATTTCCAACACCTGAAATGAAAGAAGTGAAAACTAAGGGTAAAGTTACTAATGCTACAAATGATAAGAACAGGAATAGATTATATGTTATGTTACAAACTTACAATTCCATATTCTTGAATAAAAGGCATTCATTTAAATACTTTTTTTTTTTTGAGATAGGGTCTCACCACGTTGCTTAGAACCTCTGCTAATTTGCTAAGGCTAGCCTTAAACTTGCAATCCTGTCTCATCCTCTTGAGTGGGTGCCAACCACACCCAGCTTTAAAATACATTTCTTTAATTTTTAAGATTTTTAAAAAATATTCATTTTTTGTAGTTGTACACAATACCTTTATTTATTTATTTATATGTGGTGCTGAGGATTGAACCCAGAGTCTTGCATGTGTGAGGCAAGTGCTCTACCACTGAGCCATAACTCCAGCCCCTAAAATACATTTTTTCTAAAAGGAAAAACATTGCCAGATACTTGCATAAATGGCATATTTTATGCAAGACTTACTTAAAAAGATGTACAGAAATTTGTAAATATAACAATATAATAACTTTTTTTTTTTTTTGTACCAGGTTTTGAACTCAGGGGTACTCGACCACTGAGCCACATCCCCAGCCCTATTTTGTATTTTATCTAGAGACAGGGTCTCACTGAGTTGTTTAGGGCCTCACAGTTGCTGAGCCTGGCTTTGAACTCATGATTCTCCTGTCTCAGCCTCCCAAGCCACTGGGATTACAGGTGTGTACCATTACACCCAACAAGATAATCACTTTTTAAAATACTAAAGGGGATGGAGCTTTGGCTTAGTAATAGAGTATTTGCTAACATTCACAAGGCCTTGGGTTCAATCTCCAGCACTGCAAAGGGAAAAAAAAAATTAGAAAAGACTTAAAACTTACCAAGCTGAATGTTTCTTATCCACACTGATTGTTTTGTTTCTTTTAAGATTTTCTCAAAATAAACTCCAGCAAAGCCACTTGAAAAACATGCTGTTAGAACTGCCATGAGGCCTACAAATTGAGAGCCAGCTGAAAGTTCCTTAGAATCAATCTCTTGAGAATCTGAGGGCCACTGAATAAAAACAAAATTGAAGTTTAATTCTTATAGTACTTTAATACTTTATAAAGTACATATTAAGAGCCCACTCTTAGAATCATTTGATTTCCCCCCACATTAACAATATATCACTATTTCAAGTTAATAATTTCAAAATAATACCCTAATGGAAAATAAGTATTTATATTTCATCTTTTACAGAGACTTTTACTTTAAGATAATCTGTTAAAGTTTAATTTTTTTTTTATGCTGGGGAGTAGTGTAGCTCAGTGGTAGAGCACTTGCCTGGCATGCACAAGGCCCTGGGTTCAATCCCCAGTACCATTTATTAAAAAAAAAATAAATTAACCTGGGCACAGTGGTGCATACTTGTAATATCAGCTACTCAGTTGAGGCAGGAGGATTGAAAGTTCAAGGACAACCAAGGCAACTTAGCAAGACCCAGCCTCAAATAAAAGGTAAACAAGATTGGGATATAGCTCAGTAGTAGAGCACTGGGCTCAATCCCTAGTATTCTACCCCTCCAAAAATCTTTAATTTTTTATAGACTACCTTGAAATATAGTTGATGGAAGTATAAGATTCCTACATGCCCTCTGTTGCCTCAGCAAAAGCATAGATAACTGGAAAGAGACGTACTAAATCAAGTTTAATAACAGGAAGCTGTTGAGAGGGGAACCCCAAACACAGTCAGGGAAATATGGGCCATCAGAAAATGAAGGAAAACTTGGGTTTACTAGAAAGGAAATGTGTTTCAACACAGGAACTCCAATGTCATAAATCAGGTATGGTACTCTATGGCTTGGATGTTTCTGACCCCAACCTAACCATTTGACACCTTGTAACTATTGTTAAATTTTGTCTTACATCTATTTCTTCACTCCTCTGATTCTTCTATAACTTAACTTTTTTGCGGGGATGGGGATAATTTGTTCTTTTTAGATATACATGACAGTAGAGTGTATTTTGACATATTATACATATACAGAGAATAATTTATTCTAATTAAGATCCCATTTTTGTGGTTGTACATGATGTGGAGTTTCAGTGATCCATGTATTCATGTATGAACATAGGAAAGTCATGTCCAATTCATTACTACTGTCTATTTCCACCCACCCACCTACCCTTTATTCCCCTTTGTCTAATCTAATGTACTTCTATTCTTTCTGCCTTATTGTGTGTTAGCATTCCCATAACAGATAGAACATTCAGTCTTTAGTTTCATTTACTGGCAAATCCATAATTTCATTCTTCTTTATGGCTAATATTCCATTGTGTATGTCTACCACATTATCTTTATCCATTCATCTGTTTAAGGGCTTCTATGCTGGTTCCATAACTTAGCTATTGTGATTTGAGCTGCTCTATAAACCCTGATGTGGCTGCATCACTATAGTATGCTGATTTTAAGTACTTTGGATATATACTGAGGAGTGGGATAATTAGATCAAATGGTGGTTCCATTCCAAGTTTTTTGAGTAATCTCCATACAGCTTTCCAGAGTGGTTGCACCAATTTGTAGACCCACCAGCAATGTACAAGTGTACTTTTTCCCCTACATCTTCATCAACATTTATTGTTACTCGTATTCTTGCTACTTGCCATTTTGACTGGAGTAAGATGGAATCTCAGCGTAGTTTTAATTTGCATTTCTCAAATTGCTAGAGATGCTGAACATTTTTTCATATATTTGTTGACTGATGGTTATTTCTTCTGTGAAGTATCTGTGGAGTTCCTTTGCCCACTTATTGATTGGTTTTTTTGTTGTAGTTGTTTTTGGTGTTAAGTTTTTTGAGTTCTTTGTGTATCCTGGAGATTAATCTGAGGTGCAGGTGGGAAAGATTTTCTCCCATTCTGTAGGCTGTTTTCACATTCTCATTTCCTTTGCTGTGAAGCAGTTTTTTAGTGTGATATCTTCCCATTTATTGATTCTTGATCTCACTTCTTGCACTTTCAGAGTCTTGTTGAGGAAGTTGGTTCTTAAGCCAACATGATGGAGACAACATTTTCTTCCAGTAGGTATGGGGTTTCTGGTCTAATGCATACATCCTAGATCCACTTTTGAGTTTTGTGCAGGGTGAGAGATACGGGTTAAATTTCATTCTACCATATATAAATTTTCAGTTTCCCCAGCACCGTTTATTTTCTTGGCTACTAGAGACTTCTCAATATGTTATATAACTTGTAATAACAAAACTGTTCATCATCTTGTCTTCACTGCAGCACTGACAATATTGATTACTAATCCCTTTCCTCTTGAAACTGCCTGCTTTTTTTCTTGGTCCTCTCTTCCCAATCTTTATATCTACATTACTCAATAGACTTCCTGTGAGAATGGAAATGTACTTTTTTTTAAAAAAATCCTTTTTTCTGTAATGACTTTTCTGGTGCTTCAGACCTACTGAAACTGGTTCTTGCCACTACTGGTTTGGTGTTCTGAGCAAGTTAGTTAACAACCCCTGGGAGCTTCAACTCTTCTTCCTCAATTTGGAAAGAATATTTATCTTAAGCAGATATTATGTAACATAGAGGAAGCATCAAGTAAGGTGCCTGGCATGTAAATATTCAATATATGTATTTCATTATAACAATTATCTTTCAAAATCTAAATTAAACCCAACTTTATCTCTGAAGTTTTCCCAGAAGTAGTATGTACTTACAGTATATAAAATCATTTGAAAACTTATCATGTAAAAAAAAAAATGTCAATTTTTTCCTGATCTTAAACTATATTTAAATCTTGCTAACTAGGCTCTGGAAATGGAAGGAAAGTGAAATACAACTCCTGCTTTCTAGGAACTTAAGTTGTAATGGTAAAGACACATGTACATAAGTGTATATGAAGTACTAGGAAAAAGATATGTACAAAGTACTATGCAGCAGACAAAAAGAGACAAAACTCAGTTTAGTATGTTAGGAAGGTATTCTGGTAGATGTTATTACCTCAACTGAGTCTTTTTAAATGAACAGAAGGTGCTGAGGATATAGCTCAGTAGTACAGTGCCTGTCTAATATGTGTTCAATCCCCAGCAAAAAACAAACGTGTAGGTGTTAGCCAGGCAAAGGAAGGAGGGAAATCATTGGCTGCATAATAGAGAATGGATAAATGCACAGACACACAAAAAAGCACAGCAGTTGTAGAAGTTAAGTCTGAAATGGGGAGCAGCAGAAATGAACTTATACTGGAAGGTGTTATAGGGAAGGTCTATTTTGTCATGCTAACCATTCTGGACATTAACCTGTAAGTCAGTGTTCCTGAAACTTCTGTTATTTGCCTATCATCATAGTTTCTGCCACATCCATCTTCCACTTGAATCATTAATTACTTGATATTTAAACACTTTTTAAAACAATAACTACTTAGCTTATATTAAGCAAAATCTATAAAAATATGGGTTTGATACAGTTTTTACAATACCCATTTAAAATAAGTTATTAAAGATCTTTATTCAAGATAAACATATTACACTCTGGGGAAAGTGATAGGGATCCTCTGGGTGGCAGGAAATTGATGCAATTTGACTTGTTTTTAAGCAGATCATAGTGGTGACTAAGTAAAGGCTGGATTTAGAGAGATGGGTTAGACTGAAGTTAAAAAAGAAACAACAACAACAAAAGCAGTAGATAAAGTCCATGTGAGAAAGTATGAAACTAGGCAAGTGATAAAAGGAAACAAGGATGTAATCAAGTATAATTAGAAAGCAGAATTAATAAGGTCTTAGTGATTGGATGTACAGGCAGAAGAAAGAATTTAGGACAGTTTGTAGCTTGAGTAATGATTAGAAAAAATATAAAAGCAGGGTTGGTGAGGAAACAGGTAAAGTTTAATTTTAGATATGTGGAGTTTATGTTGTCTATTGAGGAACCAAGTGAAGATACTCAATTGATCTTTCAGTATATAAATCTGAAACTATAGATGTTATATAACCAGAGCTGATGACACAAACTGAGGAGACATGAGCATATCAGTGTTAACACACACACACACACACACACACACACACACACACACACACACAAATCTGCAGAATAGATGAAACCTCTACAAATAAGGATATAACCCAGGAGAAAAAAACAAGCCTATAAACACCCCATTATCTAAAGTGAGTATCAAGAAGAGAATACCATGAAAGAAACGAATAAGGAATCGTTACAAAGAGATGAGAATCAGAAAAGAAAATATCAGTGAAGCCGAGAGACATTAAGGAGGTAGCTAATAATCTCAAATACTCTAATATCCAGTAAAAAATCAGGTCTGTTTTTATATAGTGTCTTATTTCCCTAACCAAATTATTCATTTCTTCTTTTTCCTTTTTTTGTAGGGCTGGGGACTGAACCCAGAGCTTCCTATGTGCTAGGCAAGTACTCTGTCACTGACTTATATCGCCAGTCCTTTTTATTGTATTTTGAGACATGGTCTCACTAAGTTGCCCAAGTTGACCTTGAACTTGGGGTCTCCTGAGAAGCTGTGATTATTCATTTCTTTAAGTAGGTAATTTTATTTTTATTTATTTATTTTTTGAATCACTGATGATCTCAATGTAGCATTTTGCATGAACGAAGCCCTCAAAAAATAAGTCAGCATTTATTTACCTCAACAAATAAAAGAACCATGCTCTCCAAGCAAATTAAATAAGATTTCAAGACTGGTAAAATGAAAGTTATACTTATCTTGAATAGTTACCTGTACAAAAGCAACTCCTGTCATCAAAATTACTAGGGAGAGCCATTGGTATACACCCAATTTTTTACTGAGCATAGACACAGAAAATAATGCTGTTGTAAGAATTTTCAACTGATATGTGACCTGAAAAAGAAAATAGCAATATTATTAATGCTTGTTTGTTTCTTACTTAAAAGGACAATTCAAATTAATTTCAAGTACCTGATAAGTAGCTGCGTCTAGATTTGATAGTGCCACATATAGTAAATTATTCTGAAGAGTATATATTCCTGATGGAATAGCAAGTTTAAGTGTTTCCATAGGTTTATTAAGAATTTCATCATGCAGTACTCGATTCAGTGCTCTTAGACTACATTCTAGAATAAATAAGTGAAATGGAAAAAATCAATATTTAGGTAATTCTAAGTAAGTTGTACATTCATTCTCTCAAGACCTTAAATTTCCTCATTTGTAAAAAACAAAACTCAGCTACATGTTAGGATGTTTTCAGGTCTAAATATACTTTTATGATGCTAATTTTTCAAATGTTAATTATTAACAGGTAGCATATTAAGAAGAGCATTATTCTTACATTCCTTCTGATATGTAACTAATTTGCTCATATATTCACACACACATACACAAACATTTATGATAACTAAAGGCTCAAAGTATTAACATGTTAACCAACTATCCTTGCTTTACTATATAACATTATAAAAATTTGTATTTTGTGCATTTCATTTATCATCAGCCATTTGTGCAATTAATAAGTATGAAAACTTCAATCATGAAAAGGGGTAGGTTTGGATGGAAAACCTAAATAAAAGTAGCTCAATTTGACTTACATAGCATGAGTCCAAATCTAATGTTTCTACAGCAGCTCAGTGAACCAGGCTTCTCAATATATAAATATATTGGCTTTTTACTTTCACAGTTTTCACTTTCAGTTGTCTCTGCATGATATCCAACAGATTCACCAAATGACTAATGAACCTCTGGTTCTTGTTTCATGCAACAAGAAGGAAGAGACAACAAAAGCCTTGTAGGTATCTTACTCTCATTCCTGGAATATGTTATATTACCTACCCCTAGCTATAAGGAAGCTGGGAAATCACGTATTTTCCTTTATTTTATACACATTAAAGACAAAAAGAAAACGGAGAAAGGAATTGGAAACAGACTTTGAGCTAACCAACCTACAGTATTAATCACACACACACACAGACACACACACACATGCACACACACAGTCCAAAGAACTTTGACATATGAATCTCTCCAGAAAGGAGAAATTCTAAGGAACTCTAATGCTTTATTTTAATGATTTTCTCTCTAATATAAAATAGGAAAACTTTAATATGAAAATTTTTTGAAATGAATTTTAAAAGATTGCTGTTACCTGCCCTTTTCTCAACCCAAAATAGTAAAATTAACATAAATAAAAAGTAACTGAACTATTTTTTCCTTTATCAGAAAAAATCTAAAATGTCAGCTTACATTCTGAATGTAAAAATTTAAAGAATTGATGCTATCATATACTTTTCTCACATGTACTTTAGGGGAGGCTGTCCTCCACATTCCTGCCCATTTCTGGTATTGTTACTTTTTATTTTTGTCAACCTGAAGGAAATAACATTATGTCTCTTGGTTTTAATTTTCCTGATTGCTAGTGAGGTTAAGCAGGTTTTTGTTTGTTTGTTTGTTTTTCCAGCACTAGGGACCAAACTCAGAGCCTTGCTCATGCTGTGCAGACACTCTGCCACTGAGCTATACCCTCAGCCCTGGACATCTTTTTATGTATTTACTGGCCAGTCAGGTTTCCTCTTTTGTGAATTGCCTATTTATATCCTTTGACCCCTTTTTTACTGAGCTGTTGTCTTTTCTTACTGAATTGTCGGAGTTCTTTGTAATTCTGATTATTAATTTTTGGTGGTTACATGTAATAAAAATATATTTTCTCAAACTATGATTAGCCTCCTCATTTGGTTTGACATACAGGATTTTTCATTTTAATGTATCTATCCCCAAATTATCTATTTTTTTACCTTTATGGCTTATTTTTGTTTGGTATCTTGTTTTAAATCATTCATAGACCATGATCATAAAGTTTTGTTTTTAAGGACTGGGGTTGTGGCTCAGTGGCAGAGCGCTTGCCTAGCATGTGTGAGGTACTGGGTTTGATTCTTAGCAACACGTATCAATAAATAAAAAGTCCACTGACAACTAAAAAATATTTTAAAAATAGTTTTGTTTTAAAATGTCAATATTTTGTCCACTTGGAATTTATTTTTGTGCACAGTGTGCTTATTCATGCTTTAGTTCACTGAAATTTGGCTTTATCATCTCTCCACAATGTAACCATTTATGCTAAAGATCTCTTTGGCTCTACAGTGTTAAATGTAGTGTATACTTGTATTCACCTAGACCTTAGCAGCAAAAACACTAATTTCTCAGCCTTTATATTATGTTTTTATGTCTTGCTGGTGGCTCCTTTACAGTCCTTCTCTTACTGATTCTGCCTTCTGAATTAGACCTCTAAATATTGGGAATGCTAACAAAGTTCAGACTTTGGCCCTTCTTTCCTCTAGTACATATAATAGCTTATCTTATCCAATCCTTGACTTAAAAAAAAATTTCCTTTTTACCACAATTGACTTTTATTAAAACAATCTATAAGCTGACAAATCCCTGAGCTTCATATTCATATACTCCTCTACTATTTGACATACCAATTTGAATGCTTTATATGTGTCTCAAACTTAATATGGCCCAAAGAGAAGCCTCTATCTTTTAGATATCAATCTTTAGCACTCAGAAATTTAATCTAAAAACCTAAAATCATTATCCAAACTGGACTCCTCCCTTTTCCTGGCTTTCACTCTATTATCAAGTCATGTAAAATATAGTTCAAAAGAAGATATACAAATGGCTGAGAAGCACTTGTAAATATACACTCAAAAGAAAAGAAGGGACTCAACCAGACATTTGTATATCTACTGCAGCATTTCTTATTTTCATTCCAGCATTATTTACTATAATCAAAAGGTGGAAACAACCCAAGTGTCCATCAACATATGAATAAGTAAGTAAAACATGGTATATTTATACAATGAAATATTTTTCAACCATAAAAAGAAATAAAGTTCTTATTTAGAGCAGTAGAGCACTTGCCTCATACATGCGAGTCACTGGGTTCAATCCTCAGTACCACATAAAAATAAATAAAGGTATTTGTCCATCTACAACTAACTAACTAACTAACTAACTAACTAAATAAATAAAATTCTGATACATGTTACAATATGGATAAATCCTGAAAACATTATAAATGTTATGATTCAACTTATATGAAATATCTGGACTAGGTATTTCATACAGACAGAAAGTAAATTAGAGAGCTGGAATGTACCTCAGTGGTAGAGTGCTTGCCTAGCATAATTGGGGCTCTGGGTTCTATCCCCAGAATCAAGAAAAAGAGAGAGTAGGGCTGGAGATGTGGCTCAAGTGGTAGTGTGCTTGCCTGGCATGCATGTGGTCTGGGTTCAATCCTCAGCACCACATACAAACAAAAATGTTGTGTCTGCCAAAAACTAAAAAAAAAAAAAAAAAAAAAATTAAAATTCTCTCTCTTAAAAAAAAAAGGAAAGAAAAAGAGAGAGTAAATTAGAGATTACTGGGGAATGGCGATAAAGGCCAATGGGGAATTATTACCCAAGAGTTCCAGAGTTTCTGTTTCAGATGATGAAAAAAGCTTTGAAAATTGGCCATGTTTGTACAACACTGTAAATGCAGTTAATGCCAATGATTTATGCATTAAAAAATCATTACAATGGCAAATTCTAAGTTACATACATTTATTACAGTTGATAACAAAATACTTCAAAAACCATCAAATGGTACATTTAAAATTGATGAATACATGCACCAAGCCCTGGGTTAAATCCTCAATGCTGTACACACATAAAAAAAGGTGACTTGGGGCTGGAGTGTAGCTCAGTGATACAGAATATGCTTAGCATGCTTGAGACCCCAGGTTCAATCTCCAGCTCCAAAAAGAACAAAACAAAACATGCCTGTAATCCCACAGAGGCACAAGTTCAAGGCCAACCTGAGAAATTTAGCAATACCCTGTCACAAAATAAAAATAAAAATAAGAAGTGTTGGGAATGTAGCTCAGTGTTAGACCACCCCTGGATTCAATCCCTAGTACTGCAAATAACAACAACAAAACAAAACAAACAAAAAACGGGTGAATTGAATGGTTCATGAATTATCTCTCAATGAAACTGTTTTTAAAAACTGAATCAAGGACTGGGGTTGTGGCTCAGGGTAGGGTGCTTGCCTACCACACATGAGGCACTGGGTTCAATCTCTGGCACCACACAAAAATAAAATAAATAAAATAAAGATATTGTGTCCATTTATACCTTAAAATATACTTAAAAAAAAAAACTGTATCAAGGGCTGAGGATGTAGCTCTGTGGTAAAGTGTTTGCCTAGCATGCATGAGATCCTGGGTTCAATTCCTAATACCACAAATAAATAAAGGGAAAACTGTACCAAGTTAGTCATGCCCAACTAATCAATACAGCAAATAAAATAAAAAATCTTTAGTAAAAAGTTCTAATAGTCACAGAATTATAGAATTTTACTTTTTCAAAATTATTATACCATAATTGTAAGAAAAGATGATTCATATTTATAGTGTTAATCAGAAGACATGAATCATGATATTAGGATAAAATGCCTTTATTCCCAACTAAATACTAGGACAATCAGACAATGCAAGAGTTCAAATATGTAGTTACCTATATGTTTACATCTATACGTAAATTAAATTAATTGCACTAAGTAAAAACAAAAAACCTAGATACCTACTACTGTCTTTGTAGACTAATAAAAGGCAGGCCATTATCTTCAAAAGCTCAGCAACAACCACTGCTGTAGAAGATAGATAACGAGGTCCTTCCTCTTTTAAAGTCCTAGAATAACGCATGGTTAGAACCAAACTGGTAGTCTGAAAGACCAAAATTCCCAGGGAAAGGTATTTTAGGTTGGCAGACATTGTTTTATCTTCATTTGCCTGAAAAACAAAATAGACAGGGCAAGTAAATAAAATTACAAAATACACAAACAAATATCCAACATGAGACTTCTGATTCCAGACAAGATGAAGTAAGCAACTATTCCTCCTTCTTAACCTAAAGACAAAAAGAAACTACTACCAGAGGCTCTGAAAGGTGAAGAAAATAAAGTAAATTGGCTGAAGATATAAGATTTCAAGGAATAACCCAGGAACAAATTCCTTGGAGATTTTTTGCCATCTATATTTTCTACTCTGGGTGCCACAATAATTCACAACCTGGAATTACTAACAGGAATAGAACAAAAACAACAAAGTAGTAACAAGAAAAACCCAGTTCCTCTAACCAAAAGACTAACACAGCTGATCTAACACAGTCCTACGACAACACAACAAAACCCGTTCAACTGGCACAGAGCTATGTTGACCATCACCACTCAGATCAATGGGAGCAGAGGTAGTACCCTTCCCTATCCACCAAAGAATCTGCAACCATAGACACTATGGAGTAGAGCCCTATTAACCATTTCTACCATAAACAAGTTGAATATAAGCAAAGAGGCAGTGCCCAATGTCCTACTACTAATACAGATTTAAGTAGGAACCAGAGTCTCATAATACTCAAAATGCCAAGATGCAATTCAAAATGAGTATACTCATTCCAAAAACAAGGAAAAACCTCAACTTGAATGAGGAAAGATAATCAATAGACAATAATGCAGAGGTGGCCTAGACGTTGAAATTATCAGTAAAGAATTTCAAAGAAGGCTGGGCACAGTGATGCCCATCTGTAATCCCACCTACTCAGACAGCTGAGGGAGGAGGATCCTGAGTTCAAAGCCAGCCTCAGCAATGGTGAGGCACTAAGCAACTCAGAGAGACCCTCTAAATAAAATACAAAATAGGACTGGGGATGTGGCTCAATGGTTGAGTGCCCCTGAGTTCAACCCCCAGTACCAAAAAAAAAAAAAAAAAGTTACCCTGTGTAAAATAAGAAAGAAGGACTAGATGTAGCTTGGTGGTAGAGCACTGGCTTAGCATGCATGAGGCCCTGGGTTCAATCACCAGTACCCGCCCCCCCAAAATTCAAAGACGCTATCATAAAAATTCAGCAAGAAGCACTTATGAACAATCTTGAAATAATTTTAGAATCATGAAGATGATGAAAAATAATGCAGAAATCTGAAAATATATGTCCTCACAAATACTTGTACATGATGTTGATAGAAGCTTATAATAACCAGAAATTAAATAAGTGTCCACCAGCTGATGAATTATTAAACTTACTGTGCCTATTATAGTTCTACAAAGATAAACTACTCAGCAATAAGAAAGGAGAATATACAACACACTAATATAAAAAAATAAAAATTAAATATCAAAAGTATCAAAAATATACTAAAAAAATGAAACTGTATATACTACACAACTTCATTTTTATAAAATTTCAGAAAACAAAAGGTAAAATTTGTATGAAGTGATACATACAAACATGTGGTTACCTGCAGCCAAGGGCTGGAGTTGATGGTTGACTGCAAAGGGAGAGCAAGAAATTTTTGTTGGTGATGGAAATTTTCTGTATAGTAGTTATATACTGTATCAATTTATCAGAAATCGGGGGTATAGCTCATAGGCACACATTGGGCACTGGGTTTGATCTGCAGCACCACATAAAAACAAATAAGGGCTGGAGCTATAGCTCAGTGGCAAAGCATTTGCCTACCATGCATGAGGCACTAGTTCAATCCTCACCACCACATTAAAAAAAAAAAAAACAACAACGATATAAAGGCATTCTGTCCATCTACAACTACAAAAAAATTTTAAATAAATACAATAAAGGTATTGTGTCCGTTTACAACTAAAAATCTTTTTAAAAATTTACCAGAACTCACTGGATTATACATTTAAGTGGATATATTTGACTGTATAAATTGAAACTCAATAAAGGTGATTTTAATAATTAAAGATTGAACCAGGTATGGAGACCTATAAATTCCAGCTACATTAGGAGGCTGATGTAGGATGATCTTAAAGTTCAAAGTCAGCCTGGCCAACTTAGAGAAACCCTGTCTCAAAATTAAAATAATAGGGCTGGAGATAAAGCTCAATGGTATACTGCTCCTGGATTTCATTCCCCATACTGTCAAAAAAATAATGATAAAGAGTAAAAAACTAAAGATTGAGGACGTTAAATAATAGCATTCTTCACTATGCTTTCCTCTAAACTTTGGTTCTGTTTCTGATTGCATGGATTAATGACAAGCATATTGTATTATTCTGTTCTTCACCTCAGCTAACTATCTTTTCCATGATTCCATCTTCCACATCAAATTCTTTGAATACAATCTTTGTTTATAGTATATCTCTTTACAGTTCTCAGAATCAAGCCACATTAACGGCTCTAGATATATGATCATTTTTCCCCTAACTACTAGTCATTGCAATAGCATATAATATACTCAAACAGATTTAACAATTATCATTTAGTTTCTATATTATTTTAGGCTACTTATGATTACAGAGAAACCTATTCTTAATTTTTTTGTATTAGTGCATTATAGTTATATATAATATTGGGTTTAATTCTGACAATTATACATGCTTAGAATATAATTTGCTCCAATTTAGTCCCTAGTACGTCACTTTTCCCTCTCCTTCTCCCTCCCTCTGTTCCCTTTCCTCTACTGTACTGGTCTTTGTTCTATTTACTTATAGTTTTTAAAATTAATTCATTATACATATACATAAAGGTAAAATTTACCAGGTGCAGTAGTGCATGACTATAATCCCAGGGACTTGGGAGGTTGAGGCAGGAGAATCACAAGTTCAAGGCTGGCCTCAGCCCTTAGGGAGGCCCAAAGCAACTTAGTGAGACCCTCTTTCAAAATGAAAAATAAGCCGGGTGTGGTGGCACACACCTGTAATCCTAGCGGTTTGGGAGGCTGAGATAGGAGGATTGCAGGTTCAAAGGCAGCCTCAGCAACAGCAAGGTACTAAGCAACTCAGTGAGACCCTGTCTCTAAATAAAATACAAAATAGGGCTGGGGATGTGGCTCAGGGGTCCCTGAGTTCAATCCCTAGCACCAAAATAAATAAATAAATAAATAAACAAATAAATAAATAGTGCTGGGAATATGAATCAGTGGTTAAACACCCTTGGATTCAATCTCTAAAACCAAAACAAAGATAAAGTTCACTATGGAATATTATATATGTACAAAGGACAATTCGGTCAGTTTCATTCCACCATCTTTCCTTCTCCTGTCCCTTCTCCCTTGCTCACCATCCCCTTCCTCTATACCACTTAATTATCTCTGTTCTACTGAGAAACCTATTATCGAAGGAATAAAGTCTAGCTACTAAATTTGACAGCTCCTACATATGCCTCAATCACAATGTCACACCCATGAATATAAGGATAAATTTTTAATGGTGAAATATATATGTTCACCATTAAATATACATACATAATTATTGGAAAAATATATTAAGCATTGATTTTAATTTCAGAGACAAAAATTATAAAATATACCTTTTTGTTACACAAAAGACAAAGTTCAGAGGAAAGAATACATAGACTTATTCATCAAACATTTATCTCACTTTTGTAAACATGCAATAGCAAAGGATCTTATATAAAATAAAATTATAGCAGTTTATAGGTGGAAGATGCTTTAGAAATCATTTAATATAATTTCATCATTTTAAAAAGGAAGAAAATGGTAAATAGTGAAGTTAGAAGACTTGTTCAAGTGATTAGAAATATCAGCTTATATAGTTAAATATTAGCTTCCCTGGTTCACACTACATTCAACTGTAAAATTCTAGGGACATCCTGGTTCCTTTATCTCTGAATGGAAAGAGAGTAAGTTGCCAGCAACCTATATTTGGCAAAGGCATCTAATTCTCCTGGAAACAATGATTTCAAATCTGTTCAAGGAAGTCTTTTATTTAGTCTATGCTACCAAGATAATATTATGAACTGGTTTTAACAGCAATTCCCTAACTCCTATGCAAATAAAATTTTGAGAGGTTAGTTTCTAAGCTAGAGTATAACTTCTAAATTTTGTTTTTCATTTCCAAACATACACATTATCAATATAAATATTCATAATCATAATTCAGTATCTCTTATGATGTACTTGTTTTGTTTTGTTTTGGTACCAGGAATTGAACCCAAGAATGCTTAACACTGAGCCACATCCCCATCCCTTTTTATTTTTTGAGAAAGGGTCGCACTAAGTTGCTTAGGACCTTGCTGAATTGAAGAGGCTGGCTTTGAACTTGTGATCTTTCCTCCTCAGCCTCCTGAGTAGCTGGGATTACAGTGTGCTGTCATGCTCAGGTTATAATGCATTTTTTTTTAACAAGTTGAAAGTAGAACATATGCAAATAAGTGATCATTTGTATCAGAATCCCTATAAAAATTACAATTTAACTTACCATTCTATGAAAGGGAAAAATAAACTCAAAATGAAAATAATCAAAATATTTATAGGATTATACAAATAATATAGTTTGGTTTGGGAATGCAATATATGTAAAACTAAGCAAATACATAACAAACCACTAATATAAACTGGCCAAAACAAAGATTTCTATGATTTATAAAATGAATATTATTTCTTAATTTGAATATCTAAACTATATACACTTCAAAAACTGAAAATTTTAAACAATTTCACATTTAGGTTTGAATTCTAGTCCTTTTTACATTTTTTTTCCCTTACCCCAAATTCCCCTTTTATCCTTCCAGATGTTCTTAATCCTCTTGCTTCCAGAGAATTTGTTTGTTTGGGGATATTTAGATTTGTTTGCTTGTTGGATATTATTTGTTTCATTAAAATTTCCTACAAGAAACTTACCAATAATCAAGAAAAAAACAGTACTAGATTCTTTCATATATATAGCTTCATGTGATTTACTATCAAAAATCTTGTTTTGTTAGGTACAGTGGCACATACCTGTGATTCTAGCTACTTGGGAGGCTGAGGCAG